CGCCACGCGTGCACCCCTCTATCATTTTGTCATTCGATTTCTGTCGCGCGCGACCACGATGAGGTGCTCGCTTGGCTGCACCTCCCTTCGCCCTCGGGGTGGTGCGGTGAGGAGATCTTTTCGGCCCGCGACACGAGAAGCGCGGTCACGCACCCGCGTCGTGGATCGATGGGCGCACACCGTAAGCTCGTGCTAAAAAATATAATTCCGCAAATGGCGCTTGTATGCTAACGCGCGGTTATTTGATTAAATATTTTATCAAATATTGTAAATGTACGTACATCGTGTCTCTTAATTAATTTCTAGAAATGTTTAAGAGTTTAAAAAATCAGATGTGAAAAGAGAGACAAGGTGCTGAGGGGCCTTTAAAAAATTGTTTCTTTATTACACCGAAGAACAGACGTCTCGGTCTATTTTCCGACCGTCAGTGTAAAACGAAAGGAAATTTATGAATACATCTGTCACTCGTAATGTTTAGTTGGAAGTTAAAATTAGTGCGAAGACTAAGAATCCACACGCGCGATCTCGGCGGCACGAGACGTCTCGTGCCTCGGCGAATAATCTCACGTGGCGCGCGATGACCAGACGACGACTTGGTCGATAGACCTTTAAATCCACGGTTGTTCGTCGGAGACATATTTTAGTGCGTTTCGTTCGAGCTGCTCTCGCCGACGGGGAGGAACAAGGAATAAGTCGGCCGCCAATCGGGAAAGCGCTCCCCTTTTTTTTTATGCCGCGGAATCGTTGCCGGCAAATTATTAACGTCGCGTGCCGGTATCTACCGGGTGTATCGATTCCGCCGTCCCGCTTTTGCGTCGCGTGCGTGTGCGACACACGGGGGCATCTAGATGCCGCCGCGTCGCTTTAATTTCCATTCGCGTCCCGCCGACATTGTTATTAACCCCGGGTCGCGTATCCTCGATCTTCCCTCGCGGAGGCACGTCGCTCGACCCTCCCGCGACAAGAAGATAATTGCCATCGAATCCCTCGTAGCGTCTCCCGCGGTCCCGCGAATCGAGACCGATCGCTTTGACGCGGCTATAAAAATAATTCCGTTCGTTGCTCTCGTAAACAAGCGCGGAAATTGCGCCGTTCGGGGAGAAAGTTTCCGCGTTATCTTGTATACATCTGGACACACGTATATCCGGCGATTCGTTTTGAAATGATTAGCGAAACAAAATTATTGCGTACTTACACCTGGATGAATTAGCCGCGCAATCGGGGTGGAGGTATCGTCCGTCAAAATGTTTGACCGGCGCGCGCTTTTTATCGCTTTTATCGCGATCGTCCGACGCCGGGGACGATTAGAGGCCGAGTCAGCTTAGCTCCTTTCGTCGTTGTGGTCGCGTGCGTTGGTAATCAGCCTCGGTCTCGAGTACGACGGGTACGACCCAGTTCAGTCCGCGGCGTTTCGTTTGCATATTTGGTTTGCATACCACGGCCGAGCACAAAGAGTGCGCTTTACTGCCGCGTCACGGATTTAAAACTGCGGTTAACGTTACGCCACGCTCCACGGAAGCGTGCAGAATCGAAAGGAAAAAGTTAATTCGGGAATTGCTCAGGAAACTGCTAAACAGTCGGACTCTCCTCGTATACGCGCGGAGCGTATCCGCGGGACTTTCGGATCCGCGGCGGGCGAGATTAAATGATTTTACGTCGGAGAACGTGGCGTAAAATTAGCTTTTTAAAATCCCGCGCCCCTCGGAGCGTAAACGAGTCGAATGAAAGAGACACGGTCGTGTTTCCACTTGCGTCCGGGACGTACGTTTGCTGAAAAGGGACACGCCGCATTGCAACGCCGCAGTGATATCGAGACACGCGGTCGCACGTAGCGCGTCGCCTCGTAAGAAATATGCCGCGCGCAAGTTTCTGCATCCCCCTTCCCTCCACCCCTGTAACCGCCTATAATCTTACGTTACGACGCTCCCCGTTGCCAGGTATGTTTCCGTATGCCGCGCGTGTAGCAGCGATTTCTATGCTAAACGCGCGTCGCAGCGCCGACAAGTGGTAGTCGAACATTTTCGTTTCGTTTTCCCGTCCTCGGACAGGATCGCAATCCCGCGCGACGGAATCTCGTTTCGAAGCGCGGCGACTACGTCCGTCGGATATTCACATCGGAGGCCGCGTATGGATTTAATTAACAAAGCTTACAGTCGCGGTGTCACGAGGATACGTCGCGTGTGTTATTACCCGGGGAAACGGTGAACGCCATTGTGTGGTTAGCCTCACTGTTCTTCGATCAAACAGACTGATTATATAATTAATTATTCGCAGTTCAATCGTGTTACATTAAACATTCTGGACTGGTGAGCAAATAAACAGCGATTATCGTGTCAATTTAAATACATAATCTCTATTGATTTTGGCAAAATTTGATTCTCATTTGGTATAGGTACGCAAATAATGTATAATTGCGATATCGAGGGAGCGGATCGAAGGATAAACCGCGTCGCGTGTTTGCCGCGGCCGTGTATTTCAGCTTAGACGACGAAAACAATTTTCGTTGGATTTACGTTGCACCCAGAAAAAAAGATTTAAGTAGTTACCTAAACAACTGGGACACGTTGAAATTACGTTTCTTTGAATCTACTACATTTTTATTTACTTCTACTAAAACGTTTGCTGGATTTGAAGAAATAGATACGAATTCTCTTAGAAATTCCAGTGTCGAGCAAATAAAATTTTGGTTAAGGTAAAGAAATCGTTTCTTTGAAATTAAATAAAAGTAGTAAGGTCAGACTTAAAACTTTTTTCTGTGTGTGCACGAATAGTACTTAAATTTTCATATAGATGTCTTGCTTTGATGTTTTTTATGGCAGGACTAATTTGACGCAGGCAGTAGAAAGCATAAGGGGCTTTTGAACTTTTCACGAATTCCGTTAATTAATTCCCAACGCCAGATAGATATTAGATGTTAGGCGAGTTTAATCGCGCTGACGAACGAAAATCGATGTATTAGCAATTTAATCGTATCTCGGCGAAAGAAATCGAGGGGTTAACGCCGGGTCCTGGGCATTCATGCCCGCGGCCATTCGAAAGAGCTAAAACTCTAATTGTGCAATAAATCTTCGGTAGTGCGCATCCTGCGCGATGCTACCGGCGACGCACGTAGGAAGGAGCTATCGTGGCTGACGGAGAATTAATCGTCGCTTTTGCTTCAGAGCTCGCTCTCTCTCTCTCTCTCCCCCCCTCCCCCTCCCCCCTCTTTCTCTCGTCGGCGGTGGAAAGTGGAAATAATTAAATTCTAATCCCGCCGAGTTTATCATTCCAGAGATATTTCCGACGTCGTTTATCGGCAATTAACTCTGGCACCTGCCGTTGGCTTCGTTAAAACAGCTGTGCGCCTTCCTTTCACCGAGACGGACGTCAGTTTACGCGCGGACGCAAAACTGTGCTAATACTGTTACATACCACTTCTGATCACTAATGTTTACGTTAACGAAAAAGAAATGTCACTTCTCGTGGCATCGACCTGTTTTCGCGGGACACTGGACGCATAAATCCGTGTACGTTAACCCGCATTGTCGAGTTGAACGGACTATGCGCGCGCGGCATCATAATTCATCGTCCGTTAAATCGCGCCTCGTTCGCCTTAATAACGCCAACAGCGTGGGAAAGCCGTTTTAGCCGAGGCGCGACGTGCGTACATTCGCCGTCTTCTATTGCATTTATCCGGCGTTCTCGTCGGGGAAGCCGCGAGGGCCACGCAATCAGACCCCGTTGATCCATCGCAAATTTATGCGCCACAATTTCGGCAAGCGCGCTTTGTGCAAAAGCCGCGAGCCCGATAGCGATCGCGTAAACCTGTTTCGTTAATCTGATGGCGGAGAACGATCCGAAAACGCTTAAGACTGTTTTAAGTCGTAGACGTAAGGCAAGGCAGAGAAAAACGCAATCGTATACGGCGTGTACCATAGTCTTTCACGACTTGAGTTTTTCTCTGCCTTGCCTTACGTCTAC